TGAAAATAGTTAAAATCGGTCCATTATTTCGTATAGCCTCCATACAACCGTACCGCCATACAACCGTTAAATGATCGAAAAAAAAACTTAGTTTTATACAAGTCTTAATGGTACTGCAGATAGGATAGGACCATATTAACCCCCCTGCTCCATATAACCTATCTTTTAGAAAATTCCTTTTTTGTCAACAAATGTTTAAAATATTTCTGAATTAAGATAAAAATGAAATTAAATACTTTATTAAAAAAATTATCAACATTTTTAACATAATCACTGGTGAAGAGTATCATATGGTCGACCATGTCCGACTTGTTTTGTTTTGCTGGGCTCATTCATTGACGAAAAAAGACATTTATGACACACAGGTAATTGCTGAAAATTTAAAACATCCTTTTTGCTATAAACAACACTTGAAAAACTATGTAAATTAATTTTTAAGCCATAAACAATGAAAATTGTGTTTAAATGTAAAACAAACTACCTGTCGTTTGCTATAAAATCGCAGACACCTTTTTAACATAACATCATTGTTACGTCATACCTCACTCGTTAAATAACACCAGCTTAACTAGCCAAACATGATCAATTTGGATATTTTTCAATTGACACTCCTGGTCATCTTATACGAACTAGTACAATTCATCTTTGGCAATAAGAATCTATCAGAGAATGAAAATACATCCATACAATTTCCAACAACAAGATGTAATAACACAAAGAGTTCAACAGAGTATAATCTCAAGATCAGCGGTTTGGAATTATTGCCACAAGATGAAGCAGATGAATTCATAAAGGACATTTTGCAGTCATATCGCCAGGAAACTAATAAGACTTGTGGTAATAGAAAATGTCGATTTCATTCAAAGGCCAAGAAGTCATTAAAGTTTTAATATCGAACTGTATTTATGTCAGACATTGTTTATAATTTTATTTTACTAATTTCATAATAAAGTTCTTTAAAAGAAAAATTTCAGGCATTTGACTGGAATTAATTAATTTCCATTTGATTGTTAGTAGCCGTTGTTTTGTGATTTAGTATATTTTTGGACAAAAAGTCGATATTGGGAAACTTTCATATAGTCAACGCTCAGGTGTTGCTTTAAATCGAAATACAATTGATAGATTCCGTTATACAAAACAAAAATTTAAATCCAATATATACTTTCTAAGGATTGATCTGTGCTGTATCCGAATCTGTTCTCATAATTTCTCAATCAAGCTTTAGGTTAAGATATTTCTAAGAAGGAAGAATATTAAACTTTTTTCAAGTTGACAAATTAGTCTTTCAGACGACATAATAGATTTCATACCAAAAGTTCTCTTCGCGCTATTAAAATATCTTAAATATGACCAACAAATTTTCTCAAACTTTAGGGCACGGTATCTCGAAAACCTGTGAAATCTTGAGAAATTCTTAGGCCAGATTAGAACTTTCAATCTCTTAGAAAAGTATATTTTGGTTTCTGGTTGAAAGAGGTAGGTCTGCCTATTGAAAGTATAAAGACGGTCAAATGTGATAATAAGAATTTGGATGTAGTGAGATATGTTCCTCAGATCTAAATCTTCTGACTACGGCTTATTAGTTAAATATAGCTGCGGTCTACAATCCGAAGAGAGTAATATTTTGGTCCGTTAATTACTAGTTACGGTACAGTTTTAGTATGAAGTAAGCAGTAAGGTCTCGTCTTGTTGTATGTACTTCGTATTTCGGTTCTTATTATCCCATGGTTAGACATTGGCCAAAACGGATTGTATTACTTAACTAGTCTTAGCTTATACATCACAATTAGCCAACGATAGCTGATTAGTGATATTTTCCCGACAGAGTGTTGAAGCATTTATTTCGTGCCTAGTTAGTCGTAGCTCTCATAGAATTCATAATTAACTATAGCAGAAGTATTTATCTTGTCGTAGCTATTTATATCCCACGTAGGGTGTAGACTAAAGGGCTGTACAAGACAACAATAATGCGACAATTTGCTAACGATATTTTTTTTAACAAATTGTCGCATTATTGTTGACTTGTGCAGGCCTTAAGTGTGGACCTACACCACTATAGTGAGGAGGGTATTATGTGTTTGTGCTGAAGTTTGTAACACTCAAAAATATTGGTCACAATCACTGCATCTGCATCGATTTATGTCTGTCCGTCCGTCCGTCAATCTGTCTGTTTATCCGTCTGTCCGTTTGTGTGTCAATGTAGACCTTGTGTGCACGCTACAGCACACAATTTACAAGATAATTTGATGAAATTGGCACATATTCTTCTTTTGGCCCAAGGAGAAAGCTTATTGAAATTTTCTGTCCGTCCGTCCAGTAAGTCAATCTGTCTGTTTGTCAATGTAGACCTTGTGTACACGCTACAGCATACAATTTTCAAGATAATTTGATGAAATTTGGCACATACTCTTCTTTTGGCCCAAGGAAAAGCCAAATCTGTATATTATTTTGTTATGATCGGGCCTCATTTGACCCTATCTCCCATACAAAGTCCCCTTCAGAAAATGACTTGATGGTCTAAATTCACTTATAAAACACTAATATCAGGATGATATTCAACAGAATTTTTAACATAATCAATGTTGTAGGGTCTGCTCTGCCCGACTATAAACTTTTATGTGTTTTAACTAATAATTAATAATAACCCCCTGTTAGCTGAAGGCATAATCTCATCAGATTACTTTCATAGTCGTATTAAAATATAAATATTTTATTAATAGAAAGGTTATTAAACGATTTTTTATACAAAACTTTGAAAAACATAGTTTTTTATACAAATATTTTATTTTATAGTTTTCATACTATTAGTAAAATTGTTTTACAATATTAGATACTTATAAATAAATAATACATTTTTAAAAGTAATTGTAAATCTCTTAAAATTGTAAAGTTCTCTTAGCCTTTGTGTGCAATTGACGATTTCTTAAACGGTACTTATATGTGGCGGCCATAATGGATAATTCTGGTATCCCCGTGGGTGTTCCTTGATAATCCATAGAATTCGTTAATTCACTACCCTCTTCCTCGTCCAGCAAGGGTTTCAAACCACTGATCTCAATATTAGTTTTGTTTAAATTTATTAAGTTATGGCGAGTTGGTGTCAAGTGTTGAGGGCGTTCCTTTTTATTCAATACTTTCTGACCAAAAACATATTTGACTAGTTCATAAACGATGACCAGTAGTAACAATTGTAAGATGTCAAAATGTTCCATGTTGACTTTATAAGTTGACAATGATGTTTACTGTTAGATGTTTGAAAAATGAATGATGTCCTTTGAATATTTACTTGGGATTTTATACATATTTTAGGTTCATATATATGACTTTGTTTTGACAAAAAAACATTTAGTTAATCCTGTTGTTGTTTTCAAACTATTAAATAATATTTACTTGTCTAACGTAGGTCGACCTACCTGTCTTGTTTACTAATTTATGTATCTGATAAGAAATATGTATGTTTGGTGTATGTAGAAGAATCTACCTGTTAATGATGTTTGTTTTGTCAATGATTTGCTTAAATATTTTGACATTATAATGTTTTCATTATAAAGGAATAAAAAATAAACCAAAACAAGTTTTAATCCCTATTTGATGTAAATGACTTCAATTTACAAATAGATTTTAAGGTAAATTACTTACTTGGTAGCGTGTGACAAGATAAATGTCATAATGATCAGTGACGTCATAATATGATTACCACAAATATTATCATATTTGTGTGTTAACATCGAAACATTAGGGGTATTTCTAATATTACTGCCAAAAAATAAAATTTTGTTCATTCTTAGATTCTATTTATAAAAAAATTTGTATTGAAGTCGCTATTTGGTAAAAAGAAGCTTTTTGCCCTTAGATCCATATCGAATTTTCTAGAGAATTCTTGTTTTGTCAATGAAATTGTCAGAAGTTGACTTTGTATGGGAGCTAAGACCAATTATGGACCGACCAAACCAGAAAATTAATTTTCGGAAGTGGACCCTATATGGGACCTAAGACCAATTAAAGACCGATCCGCAAAAAAAATTCACACAATAATTTACTCATAGACAAAATATGTATATTTATGTAGAATATTTCGGAAGTTGTTCTTATATGGGAGGTATGATATATTTTGGACCGACTCGGAAAAAAAGATTCGTAGAATGATTTGTGTATATACAAAATATACTCATTTATAATTTTATACCGAAATCTTATTTTGTCAATGAAATATGTGCGTTTAATTTTCAGAGGTGGATCTAATATGGGACCTAAGTCCAATTTATGACCGATACGGAAAAAATTTCACAGAATGATTTACTTATATAGACATAATGTATTTATTTAGAATTTGATCCTGGAATCTTGTTTTGTCAATGAAATATTTGCGTTTAAGAAATTTTGGGCAATGGACCTTATATGGTAGGTATGATCAATTTTGAACCGATCTGGAAAAAAATTCGCAGTGTGATAAATTTGTATTGTTTTGTCCATGAAGTATGTGCGTTTAAGTAATTTTCGGAAATGGACCTTATATGGGAGGTATGTGTATCCAATTATGGACCGATATGAACTTCAATTATTTAATAATGAAATATGTGCCTTTACGTGGTTAACGGAGGTGGACATTATATGGAACCTATGGCCAATTATGGACCGAATATAATTCCGTTATTTTTATTTCCTAATTAGTTATGTGCATTTAAATGATTTTTGGAATTGGACCTTATATGGGTGCTATGACCAATTGTGGACCGATACATATCTAAAAAAATGCAAAAATGTTTGCCTGTTACCGATATGCTTGAGGAAGTTATTAACTATAAATCCATTTCCCGAAATATGTAGTTTTGTATGGGGGCTATGTGAAATTTTGAATAGATTGTTATTATTAAGCATATATATAATTGATCCCCGGGTGAATAAAGTAACGTGTGATAAAACGTTATGGTACTTTCTGAGAATACTGCTAGAGAATAAGGAAAAAATTAGTTTTTTTTTCGAGGTCTTATGCAATTTGTACTCATAACTTTTTACGTTGCGAACCGATTTTACTGATTTTCAATATCAGACTACCTAGGATAACAATGAATATTTTCAGTGATTTTGGTTGATTCCCTTTGCTTAGTTTTAACGTAAGCGTGTTTTAGGCAGACAAACAGACGGATATAGCTTAATCAACTCAGAATTTCATAAGGAACCGGACTTTGCTGGGTCTCAGGTGAATATTTATTATATATACCCTTTATCACCACTGATGGTGGTGTAGGGAAGGCTGAAAATTGTGACATGTACTTTAATTGCACGGGCTTCTCTAAATCGCTGCTGAGCCAATAGTTTTGTATAATCTAGGTAAAGCACATATTAGGTTACATATATAGTTTGGAACTGTTTACCAGAACTGATGGGTTTTGATTGTTGTTTACATTATTAAGCCATGTTTTGGGAAGAACGTTATATGTGAAATTTCCAAAATTTAATTTATTGCTAAATGCTCTCAAGATCCATACATATGAATAAAATATCAAAAAAAAAAAATGGAAGAAACTTTAAAAAATCCTTTGACTTAGCTCATCAAATATTGGCTCAAGGAGAAAGAAACATTTTTATCGGTATCAGCGTAGCTGTTGTAGATACACGTATTCTGTATTCTCCTCTTATTGTACGTAAAACATTTCTGATGATAACTTTTTAACTACCTAGTTGTAAGTACTTATTTAATAACATATTTGTAAGCTAGCGTGAAAATGTTATCATCGCATTAAACTAATGAGTTCAAGTGCCAATGTATAAGTTGTGAAAAGCGCAATGCAAGTTTTGTTGGGTATATATCTAGTGAAAAAACATTGTATGCATTTAAATGTTGGTTTACCATTTTTTAATAATTTTCTATTCAAATATACGAATTTCATATATAACAGTTTTAATTAATAAACATAACGTTAGGATTATATGTTTTAGTTTATTTTGTAAAAGAGTAGGAAAGGATATAATGTGCATTATTAATTCACTAGAATTTTAAAAGTAATTACACATTAGAAATGGGGGAAATGATAACTATATACTAAGATAAATATACTAAATGATATTACACCATATCCAATTTTAATTATGTTGAACCCTTATATGAGAGCTAAGAGCAATTATGTGGATCCACTTAAGTTAAAAGTATTTTAAACATACAAACGAACATAGGTAACTTGCTTCAAAGTTTTGTAATTCAACTGGAAATGGTGTAGTGCACGTTTGCTGCTTAATTTTCATTAACCTATTTGTAAATGATACCATTTATGATGTTGCGGATCAAATGGATGAGAAACTATTTTAATTAAACATAGTTTTTGGGAGGAAAGTACTGCCAAGCATGAATAAATATTAAAGAAAATATAAAATTTTTATTTATTACAATTAATGTTAATATTATATTTTCCGCAATTGATTTTAAATCCCCCAAAAAAGTAAAATCCTTAAAAGAAGTTAGCGAAAAAAAGTTGTAGTAAAATCAATAACAAATATTTGCATTTCTTTCACTTAACTACGACTCCATATACTACTACAGTGAGCGTCAATGAAACGTGCCAATCGTTTCTGTTAAAATACAAACATTTCACGTGGTAATTGTTGAAATGATTGAAGAAGTTATTTTTTATAAGTTTGGGGTAAATATTGACACTATTGAAATGTGCAACGTGCTTTCAGGGTAAATAACTGCAATTGATTTTGACTCAATTGCTCACGTAGAAAAGTGGAGTATGATTCGAAGTAATAAATGTAATTGATCTTTTAATCAATATTTTGGTAATAATTTTAATGTTTTAATAAAAATATCAAGAAGAAGTTTTGGTATTTAAAGAAATTAATTAAAAGAGCTTTAAATATTAGGTTAGGGTGAAAGAGGTATTATATAGATTCAGATGAGAATTGTCTTCTTAATAGATAGATTTCATTCTTCTTTACAGCCTCATCGACCTTTCTTCTCAAGTCTGATCCTTTTCCCTATGAATTATTACAACAGAGTAGGCATAGGTCTAAGTCCATTTTCGATAATGGTCCACAGGAGACTTTTAAGCTTGGTTACCTAGAGTTAAGAGTACAAATTACCGGGAACCGGGAAATACCTTAGCATGTAAAGTTTGTACGTTATTAAAGGTACCTTTGATGCTCATACATATAGCATGTTAAACATTTTTTGTCAAAAATATCACAAAAACAAAGGAAAATAATTCCCGGGAATTTCCGGACAAGAGGATTTTCCTTTTTATACTATAACACTACTATACCTCCCTCCATGATGTTGTAACGCATAATTCTATCAGACTTAATTTTTTGAGTCGATTAAGTTAGTTAGTTAGAGTAGGTAGTTAGTTAGTTAGGTAGTTAGTTAGTTAGTTAGTAGTTAGTTAGTTAGTTAGTTAGGTAGTTAGTAGTAGTTAGTAGTTAGTTAGTTAGTTAGTTAGTTAGTTAGTTAGTTAGTTAGTAGTTAGTTAGTTAGTAGTTAAGTTAGTAGTTAGTTAGTTAGTTAGTTAGTTAGTTAGTTAGTTAGTTAGTTAGTAGTTAGTAGTAGTTAGTTAGTAGTTAGTTAGTTAGTTAGTTAGTAGTTAGGAGTTAGTTAGTTAGTTAGTGTTAGTTAGTTAGTTAGTTAGTTAGTAGTTAGTTAGTTAGAGTAGTTTTAGTTTAGTGTTAGTTAGTTAGTTAGTTAGTTAGTTAGTTAGTTAGTTAGTTAGTTAGTTAGTTAGTTAGTAGTTAGTTAGTTAGTTAGTTAGTTAGTTAGTTAGTTAGTTAGTTAGTTAGTTAGTTAGTTAGTTAGTTAGTTAGTTAGTTAGTAGTTAGTTAGTTAGTTAGTTAGTAGTTAGTTAGTTAGTTAGTTAGTGTTAGTTAGTAGTAGTTAGTTAGTTAGTAGTAGTTAGTTAGTTAGTTAGTTAGTTAGTTAGTTAGTTAGTTAGTTAGTAGTTAGTAGTTAGTTAGTTAGTTAGTTAGTTAGTTAGTTAGTTAGTAGTAGTTAGTTAGTTAGTTAGTTAGTAGTAGTAGTTAGTTAGTTAGTTAGTTAGTAGTTAGTTAGTTAGTGTAGTTAGTTAGTTAGTAGTTAGTTAGTTAGTTAGTTAGTTTAGTAGTTAGTTAGTTAGTTAGAGTTAGTTAGTTAGTTAGTTAGTTAGTTAGTAGTTAGTTAGTTAGTAGTTAGTTCGTTAGTTAGTTAGTTAGTTAGTTAGTTAGTAGTTAGTTAGTTAGTTAGTTAGTTAGTTAGTTAGTTAGTTAGTTAGTTAGT